AAGGTCGGTCGGTCGAAGGGTCACTTTTCCCAGACCCCGCGATGCGGTATTTCTTCACACCGTGCCCCCCCTAGAGCAGTTCATCCCGAATCGTTGTTCGGCGATCCTGGAGGCCTCAGGGGCCCAACACGTCAAAAAACTGTCCACCACGCTTTTTCCACTTTTGCGAGGAGGTCTGGGTTACGCGTAGCCGTGAGGAGAATGAGTAGGATCAGGAGCAGGAGGACGAGGAGAGGAGGATATGGCTCGGCCGCCAACTCTCACCACAGGTCGAAGCAATGAAAGATTGCTGACTCCTTCCAGACTTGACCTACGCAAGAGCCCCTGACCTGGGATGGGGCCCCTGGCATGATAAGAGACGGTGGGGAGGAGCACGAGGAGGAGCAGTGAGGAGCAGCACGAGGAGGAGGCTGGCAGGCGTGCAGTGCCGCGTGCGGGCCTCGACACCCTCGCGCCGCATGGGCCCCGCGCGACCGGCGGCGCCGCCCGCAGCCTCCGCGCCGGCGCCGCCCTGGGCACGGGGGCGGCCGCGCGCCGAGGGTGGCCCCACAGTCCCGCGCGAGATCCATCGGCGGCACGCCCACGGGGAAGGCGGGGGGGGGGCGGGCCTCCTGAGGCGCAGAAGGGGCTTCTCAGAAGGCCCGCCGCCTCCCCCCTGCCATCCTCGGTGCGCCGCGCCCGCCAAACCTGATGGAAGGTCGCCCGAACCACCCGGGCGGGTGGCAGAGTGGGGGTGACCTGACCTGCACGTGGGTGAAGAATGAAGTAGCCCAGGGACACCCAGAAATGCACGCAAACCCAATGATTCCTCATATTTTTCCGTACGTTCTGGGTTTTCGTCTTCCCCCCCCCTTCCCAGATATTCCCATATTTTCCGGGGGGTCGACGATTAATTGTGTCTGTGTGTTGTTTCCCCTCCTGAAAAAACAAGTACCCAAATGGGCTCTTCAGGGCCCCCTTGTGGAGCCAGCAGGGGCCCTCGAGGGCCCCCTGAGAAGCCTCCCCTTCCCCACCCAGTCATGTCACCCTCCACTGCCACCCGCCCGAGAATTCCCGGCGGCGGCGGAAGCGGCCTCTGGCGCGCGCCCCTTGCCCCTCGCTGCTCGCAGTGCGGCAGCAGCCGAGGGAGCAAGAAGGCCGCCGGCGTGGACCCATCCGCGGAGGGGTGAGGAGGTCCCGGGGCCCACGGGAAAGTCGTGACGCCAGATCTCTGGGATCGATGGGGGTCGCCGCCGTGGTCGCCTCCACCGTCGACGTCGTCGTCGTCCAGGCCGACTGCGCCGCCGTCGTCGCCGAGTTCGCCGGCGCAGCCCTCGTCGTCGCCGCCGTGACTCGAGAATCGGGGCTCGAGGTCGTTTGACGTTCTTGGGCTCTGGGAGGCCCCTCCTGGCCGCACCCAGAGCCGCCGCGAAATCCTGGCGACAAGCCCGCCAGGATTGAGCTTCGAGGAACCGCGCTGCCTAACGTGCGAGGATCGGGGCTCGAGGTCCCGTGGAGGCCTCGCGGAGGCATCTGGTCGCCACGGCTGGATCCGCCTCGGAATTCTGGCCGGAGCGCACCCCCTGGGACACATTCTGGGGATCGAGCTCTCAGGCAGGAGGAAGAGGAGCAGCACAGAAACGGGGAGGGGCGGCAGCACCACCGCCCGGGACCGCCAGCGGGAGGAGCCCGGGGGGGCATCCCCAGTTCGAGGAGGCATCGTGGACCTCCTCGCTGGAGGTGGCCCCCCCTGGTGCTGGTGGTGGTGTCGTTTCTCCTTCCCTCGACAGGACGAGGGGGACCCAAGCTCGCGGCTCCGCGCCACCCGCGCTCGAGGATCGAGGGTCAAGGACTGAGGTCCGAATCCTGTGGACATGTTCTGCACCAAGTACTGATCCCTAGGAGGCCTCGGACCTCGGAGGATCCCCGAACCCTGGCATCACCAGACAAAAACAAAACATGGCATACTCATGGCAATATGTTGGCCAGCGCGCGCTCCAAACATACTATTTCTAGAGACCTGCGTGGTGCAATCCATAATGTAATGCAGTGTAGGTGGTGCATTGCTTGTGGATCCAACCGTAGGTTGTGCAATGGATGTTGTGCAACACATGTGGTGTAACATAAACTGTGCAGTTTACGTGGTGCAAAATATGTTTGCAATCGTTGTGGAGCAACCACTTTGGCGCAACAAGTGAATTGAAGTCTATGTGCTGCGGTCTACGTGGTGCAACAGACGTTGTGCAATATGTGTGGTGCCACTTCTGTGGAGCACTGCGTGAAGCAACCGATGTGTACGATATATGTGGTGCGATCTACGTTGTGCAAATTATGTGGTGCAACCGAAATGGTGTCTTCTATCGTGTGTAATAAACGTGGTCCAATAGGTATTGTGCAATATGCTTGGAGCAAACAAAAGTTGTGTACAACATATTTTGCGAATCGACGCGGAGCAAGTTAAGCTGTGCGATACAGATTGTGCAACTTACGCAGTGCAACATCGTGGTGCTAACTAAAAGCGTGCAAATTACGTAGTGCCATCTGTGCGGATTAATCCATGGTGTGCAAATTATGTGGTGCAATCGATGCTGTGCAACCAATGTTGTGCAATCTAGGTGCTCCAGAACCTAGTTGGTGCAAAACATGCGGTGCAAACTACGTTGCGCAATCTGTGTGGTTCAATGGATATTTACGAAAGGGCTGACATATTCCATGCTCTAAAAACTTTACCACCTCACCCACCCGCAACTTGGTTTGCAATCCCATGCGGTGGCGATTGCGATGAATGCTTGGCGTTGGCTGGTGAATCTCTGCGGCCGCGCCAACCCAAGCACGCGCGCGCAGCGGCCAGCTAGTTTGGCGCGACCGACGCGGCCGCAGTGGCGCTGACAGCTGGGCACGCCCCAGCGGGCACTTCACTGCGAGTCGGTGACTTGGGCGGGCGCGGTATCATGGCAACGTCGACAATTGTAGACACGATGATGATAGTAGCGATGGTCGTGACGATGTTGACAACGACGACGGCGCGACCATTGCGGGCGCCGGTGCTGATCACGCCGACGACGATGACGGCCTCCTCGCGTCGGTGATGAAGGTTTTGGAAAGAGTTCGACATGCGCGCGCGGCCGACGCGCGAGAATGGCCCGCATGGTATTATTTGGCACGGATCGTGCCCCCCCAGCACGCGCGCAAGGGCGTGCTAATGATTTCGGTATGCGGCGCCAGAGGCCAGATTTGGCAGATTCCCACGGAAAGGTTGAAACAATAAATGGTTTCCTATCGGATTCGCAAAAGCGCGAGCGCACGCTGTTTTGAAAACTGATGTTGCGAAATCCTGTGGTTTTGTATGTGTTTAAACACTCGGTTTTGAAATCTCTACGACACCTAAGGTTTTTGACAGACTTCGGCATACACGCACGACACGCGCGCGTGCATGCTGTCCAACGTTTTGCAAAATGGACTCTTGCGACGGCCCGCGCGGAAGGGCGTTCGAAACGATCTCGACATGCGCGCGCGATGCCCGTTTGGTAGCATTTTCTGAAAATTATGAAAACCGGTGGTTTCCTTAAGAATTCGCAAGAGCAGGCGCGCAAGCCTTTCTTATTGAAAATCCGTGTTGCGAAATCCTGTGTTTTGTTTTTGGGCACTCGATTTTGAAATCCTTACGAAACCAAAGATTCTTGAAGGATTGGAACATGCCCGCGCGACAACGCGCGCGTGCGCACTTCGTCACATTGTTTGCAAGGCATTCTTGAACACGGATGATTTGCGATAAACGAACGCGCGCGCATAGTATTTGTTGCAGGGGATGGCGTGGGGGGGATACCGGCTCGGCTGGGATGTTATGAACTCATATTTCGGATGGGCGATGGGGCAGAATCATGTAAATTGTAATGCGCGTGGCCGAGTTGATAACCCCAGGGGGGGGGGGGGCTGGAATCTAACTCTCTTTAGAGAGGAGAACCGATGTAGAGCAATATATGTGAAGCAAGCAGACTGTGAGCAGCCAGAGCGGTTGACCGGCCCTGACGACGGGTGGCGACGAGGCGGGCGCGGGGCGGTGACGGCGACAACATGATCCGCATCCCCGATCGAGAGGGGCGAAGCGCTGTGCAGCGCTGTACCGCCCAGGCCGAAGCAGCGACCCAGAAGAACTGTCCCATGACATCGCCAGCTAGGACGGCAACTACACGCAACGTCTGGTCATCGCCAAACCAGGGGGGGGTGGGGGGAAACCGCCCTTTCTTGCTATTCTGTCGCTCTCTCCCTCTCACTGTCTCTCCCTGTCTCTCTCTCTGTACTCTCTCTCTCTCTCTTTCTGATGTGTTTTCCTGTTCCTGTCGGTCTAGGTCAGGGCGGCTCGCAGGCCAGAGGGATACTGCTCCACACCAATCGACACGTGTGGGACGCTGCTTCGTTATGTCACACCTTGGCTTCGTTATCATGATTTCTTCCGGCCGACTTACATTGGTAGCTCTCTCGCTCTCTCTCTCTCTCTCTCTCTCTCTCTCTCTTTCTCGCTCCCTCTCTCTCGAGGTTGGCAAGGCTCCTCTAGCCCAACCCCACCCATCCGTCCCCCCATCCGTCCCAGAATCCGCGCCTCCTCCTCCTCCTCCTCCTCCTCCTCCTCCTCCTCCTCCTTCTCATCATCATCATCATCATCATCCATCCTCATCCTCATCCTCATCCTCATCCTCATCCTCCTCCTCATCCTCCTCCTCATCATCATCATCCGCCTCCTCCTCTCTCCCCTCTCCCCCTCCCCTCAATCCTATCTTACCCTTGTTCCCTCCCTTCTCCTCCTCCTTCTCCTCCTCCTCCTCCTCCCCCTCCTCCTCCTCCTCCTCCTCCTCCTCGCCCTCCTAATCCGCCTCCTTCTCCTCCTCCTCCCTTGATCCTCCTCCCAACCCTCTTTGCTCCTTGCCGATATCCTGGGCTACTCTGGCCCCATACCCAGGGGAATGAAAAGGGAGGACAGGGGTGAGGAAGAGTGAGGGGGAAGGACAGGGAGGAGGAAGGGGGAGGATGGCGTCAGGAGTCAGGAGCCCCAGGACGAAGTTCAAACGCGGGGGGAGGATGGAGGAAGGGGACGAGCAGGAGGCGGAGGAGGAGGCGGATCAGGAGGGCGAGGCGAGGAGGAGGAGGAGGAGGAAGAGGAGGAGGAGGAGGAGGAGGAGGAGGAGGAGGGCGAAGCGCTGCAGCCCCCCCCCGCGCACCAGCGCGAGGAGCCACGCCGTCCACACCAGGGAGCCCGCCATGAAGCCGCCGCCGCCGCCTGGCCGCCCCGGCCTCCGAGGGCGGGCGGGGGGGGAGTGGGTGGCAATACTGCCCGCCCTCCTCCGTCTCCTCCTCCTCCCCCCCTCCCCCCCCCCCTCTGCAGGATCCTCCAGGATCCTGCGAAGCCCGCCTGACCCAGGCGTGAAAAGACCCAAGGCAGCAGATCCCAGATCCATCCAGCCCGGACTTCCAGGGGGGGTGCCCCGACGCACGCCATCGTGAGCGCGCTGCGTCTCCGATGGGTCGGGTTTCGAC